TGTCCAGCGACTTCCATTTGTTTTCCACTTGTGTGGCAGTCACGTTGCACAAGAACTCCGTATTGATGGCCTCAGCCAACTTCTTCCACAGAAGCCTTCTTGTGCTAAACAAAAAAGCAAAGCACAGTTAGTAGGAAAGAAGGAAGCGACGTAACGTGACCCAAGTCTTGCAGTAGCACATGAACCTTTCCTTAGTACTTCATATGTGTAGCTTTCAGGGATAATTGCTAGGGATGTTCGATTATTCGAAAATTTTGGATAATGAATCAAACAGCACTGTATTCGGTTCCTAAGTCGAATCGAATTGCACATATTCTAAGTAACAAATATTCTTTTAATAATCGGCACTGGCGGGAGAACCCCAAAACAACGAAACAGCTACAAGTCATTCTTTCAATCCCTAATGTGACCTGTACGCAGCCCAAGCTTTTGCAAGACTACCTACACTATATTGATTGTCGAATGAATGCGCTTCTGAAAGCTCCATTCTTGCTCAATTTTTACTGCACTTTAGCTGTATCGCATTTATCAGCTCCTGTCTTCGTCTTGTAATAACCAAAGGTGGGAACTACGAGTGCTTGCAGCTTCACGACTAGCAACAGATACAAGTTTTGCGTTTGCGTAAATTGTTCTTGCAGATGTAAATTTCAACGCCCATTGTTATCCGCTTTTAGTGCGCAGGCCATGTTGTGATGACGGGTTGATCTGCTCCGTTACATATTTAGTTGTATCTGCAATGTTTGGTTGTAAATTGTTTTGTTTTTGTGTCCCAATTTTATTTAAAGTGAGGTGACAAAGTCTCACGTTGATAACGCTAGTCAATGCCGTAGTTGAACCTACAATTACAAAATGTTACGAATATTCTAGTTCCTGCTGCATACGAGATTACCTTAGTTTTCGTAATTGTGGTATTTTGAGTAGATTCAAACTGACTGTAATGGCCTTTGTCGAAAGTTTGTGACTATTTGTTTCAAATAAAATGTTCTGTTCTAAGGCTGTTTTGAAAATGGTCTACTTACTATTCAAACAGTATTCAATTACTATTTGTATTCTATTTGGTGCCATTACTATTTGACTCTTACTTGATTAGGTTCCGAAATTCACTATTCACACACTTCTGATAACTGCGAACGTTCTTTTTGTGCGGGAAGCATTATGTTGGAGAAGTTGAACATTGTGTAAATCACTCTTTTGGATCATAAAGCTTCACTAAGGAGACAGCCATATTCTAACCTGTCTTTGCATTGTAAAACATGCAGCTGCGCAACCTTGTTTGCTGACACGACGGCGCAGTCTAGGTTCAAAGATAGGGTAGCACGTGTCAAGAAGCATATCTCTTTTAACAATGAGCTGCACCATCTTGAAAAGTGGCAGTGCGAGAGAAATGCGGACAGACAGTGAAGACACAAGGACTGCAGGGCGAGACTTGCTAGAGATGTGCCTCAGAATAACAACATGCAATTCCCTCTAGTGCAAATTCTCAAGGCAGCACTACACTTGCAACATGGCTTGAGCTTGGAGGTGCTGCACCTTTTCGGCAAGACAGCGGTTGTGCAATGCCCAACACAAAAGCACCGTCGCTGTTTTTGAAGATCACTTGACTTAATGAAACATTACGAATGCCTTCGTTGTGTATATATGTGCGTGACTATACATACTGTTTGTGTGTATATGTAAACGTATATGTCACAGTCAGGCGCATAGCCAAAATTTTTTTTCAGTGGGGGGGGGCAGTAAAATGTAAATTGCTGGCAGTAAAATGTAGGCAACAATAACCATCGCCATTGTGAACTTCATGCGCCCTTATCTTGTTGGTGCTTGCCTAGAGTGAAACGGAATAATAAAAGCTGCAAATAATTTTGGACATAGGATGACATACCGAAGTGCCCTGGTTTTTCCCACCAAGTCCTTCATTTCCGAGTATTTGGCGATGAAGAACCTTGTTTTTCGGGCGCTCCAAAGCTCTTCCACATCTTCAGCCGACGCGGCTGCTGCTGGAAATGCGGCTAAAGCCCCATCGCTGTCAACGTCGCCGTCGCAGGCAGGAGAAGGCGTCGGCGGTTGTGCCGGAGGGGGGTCATTTTCACGATTCCCTGCCATGAACCGCAACGTAACGCGCTTGCCGTCTGCAAGGGCGAAAACCAAGATTAAAAATACCGACATAGCATAAGCAATGCTACGAGGCTGTTTGCTGACCGACTACGACTCCTGGCCGCTAACCACGTTTTTTGGCAATGCATGCAGCCTGACTTACCTGATGCCTCATAGACGTAACCGTTGGCGTCCGTCATAAATGACCCGTCGGGATTGTGAAGTGCCTTAACTTCCTTTTGAACGCCCTGAACAACTATTTGCAACGTCGTCTGCTCTGGCCTTGGGGGGACGCCCGCCATGCTGCACTACTCTGCACCTGCTTTGGAGTGCGTGCACGCCGGTACAGAACTCGTCAGGAACTAGGCTTACACCTAGACAAAACGAGGGAGCCAGTGCAGAGGGTGCGACAGAGGGCGCGCGCTGCTCCGGCAAAACGAGGACGAAGGTGCTGCACCCTTTGAACTGGTTCAGCCGGTGCAGCCAAAACGAAGAGACCAATAGTGTTACTACTTTAAAAGGTTTACTAGGCAACCTCCGTTAATTACCCAGCTTCGCGGATAATTAATCCGCGAAGCTGGGTAGTGCAGTTGCCCTATCGTATTATCGCACTAGTTGCTCTATCGCACTATTTACGATAGTGCAGTTGCCCTATCGTAAATTAAATGCCCCAACGTTTCAGAACAAGCGCGACAACGTATGCATCGAAGGTTCTTCGCTAGGTTTTACGAATTAGTAAGTCAATCGCGCAAAGGTTGTTAATTACCCAGCTCTTCGGATTGGCAGTTACCTGCGCATGGAGGCGACATTACGTTTCGGAGCGAGTGCTACAACTTTTTCATTGAAGTCTCTTCAATAGGGTTACTATCACGGTTATGTATGACGCTCAGTGGATTATGTATAGAAATATACTTACATGTTGATTGATTGATATGTGGGGTTTAACGTCCCAAAACCACCATATGATTATGAAAGACGCCGCAGTGGAGGGCTCCGGCAATTTCGACCGCCTGGGGTTCTTTAACGCGCACCCAAATCTGAGCACACGGGCCTACAACATTTCCGCCTCCATCGGAAATGCAGCCGCCGCAGCCGGGATTCGATCCCGCGACCTGTGGGTCAGCAGCCGAGTACCTTAGCCACTAGACCACCGCGGCGGGGTATACTTACATGTTTCATGCGGCTCGAAACATTACTGGGCCAACTTAACACACGTAGCGCGTGAGTTTCTTTTTTCAGTAATTAGCCGACACAGCCCTTATATTCTTAATGGCCCCGATAACAAGCTCGCAGCTTTTTTTTTTTTTTGTTCAGACACGAACAGTTGGCTCCACGGGCGTGCAGAATGGATTTAGTGATTAACTTGGCATCCATAAAGCGCCTGTTGTCTGTGTGCGATCGTGCAGCATTGTGTTATATGCGCTGAAAAACATCTCCTCCAGATGCCCGCCAGCTTTGGGCAAGCTGCACGTCTCTGATTAGCAGATTTGACAGCTGTAGAAGCTTGTATACTATAAGTTCCAGCTACTTATTTGAAGTATAATGTTTCTCGTTACGAAATAAGGGGAGTCTTAGAAGCGCCTTTTTTTTTTCGTTAAAAACATCGTTAACGAAAGCTAACCGACAATCAATACAAGAAAGGTATGGGATATATATTCTTTGTAGTAACTGTACCGTGATATAAAACGGAAAATAGTTAAGTGGAGGAAAAGACAACTTGCTATCGGCAGGGACGATACCTGCCTTGATGTGACTGATATGTGTGGTTTAACGTCCCAAAACCACCATATGATTATGAGAGACGCCGTAGTGGAGAGCTCCGGCAATTTCGACCACCTGGGCTTCTTTAACGCGCACCCAAATCTGAGCACACAGGCGTACAACATTTCCGCCTCCATCGGAAATGTAGCCGCCGCAGCCGGGATTGGAACCCGCGACCTGCGGGTCAGCAGCCGAGTACCTTAGCCACTAGACCACCGCGGTGGGGCAATCAAGACAAGGGAAGTATGGTATATGTATCATTTGTAGTAACTGTACCGTGATATAAAACGGAAAATAATTAAGTGGAGGAAAAGACAACTTGCATTCGGCAGGGACCATATACCTGCGACCTTCGAATAACGCGTACAGTGTTCCACCAATTGAGCTACCGTGGCGGTGGTCATCGAACTGTTCGCTTAACTGCAACTTCTTCGGCTTTAAATCATGGATTGCTAATGCTTGGGAGCTTAAGTCGGGGCCACCAATGAATACTTTGGGTGCACGCACTGACGGACTGCGCATGCTCACTTTGGGCCTGGACGAGCAACCATGGGCGATCCAGAAGGCCGAGAAATCTGCCTGAAATGAGTGACGTTTTCCCTCTCTCTCTCTTATTACGTGGTCTTATTATGATTTTAAAACGTGTGACGTCATGAGCTACCTTTGTGGGCTAGTAATTTATCAACGTAATGCATTACTGAAAACGAGTAATTTCAAATAACTACTGAACGCTTTCCAAACTACTTCTCACCATAACAATAAATTCCAATAGCAGATCCAGATTAAGTTTTCCTGCGCTGCACGAAGCAATCGCATTCTAGTGGCAGGTTAGGAGCGTGAACTGTGTGTTTCAATATATATATATATATATATATATATATATATATATAATATATATATATATATATATATATATATATATATATATATATATATATATATATATATATATATATATATATACACACTGGCACACATACACAGGTATATATATATATATATATATATATATATATATATATATATATATACCTGTGTATGTGTGCCAGTTTCACACACTGCAAAGGCATAAATGCTAAAGGGAACCGAAACAAAAGATACCAAGACGTCAAAGCTGAGGAATCCAACGCGAAACAATCCATAGCCAGCCGGCGCAAGATGGCTGCTGCCATGCGATGCGTCTTCGTGAGCTTTCGGCTGGTTAAAGTAAGCTATTTTCGTTTCACTATCTTTATTCAGTCACCTGGTAACGTTTGGGATAAATTTGAATGTCTGTCCGCATTTTCAGTAGTTTTTTTTTTCTGTCTATTAGCTTCTCGATCGACTACGAATAAGCGAAGCGTTGGGTGCACGCATACCGTGAGCGTATTTTGCAGGAAATGTTTTTGGGTTGAATTTCAGAATTCTGGATCTCAGAGTGTCTTTTGCCAAAGGTTATGCAGTCAGGCTCCAGTCTCCGTGGCAGGCGAAGTGCCTCTTCCAGCAGCTGATGGCGCAGGTGAGTTACCGAGGAGGCTTTTTAGCTCAGGTGCGCAGAACTGGCAGATATTCGTTTGGAAACCATTCAGCCCATCTCGCTCCTACTTAAACAGCTCAATGCTAATTAGTCTGCAAACTCTCATCGAGAGAGAGTTACGTCGCCACGCATTAGATATGGAACAAATGATCATGCTCTGTTGTTCGTAGCATTTCTGTTGAACCTGCTGTTGACCTTGATCACTCATACCGCTTGCTTTCGACTTCGAATGGCTCCTTTGCGAAGCTTATCGACCGGGAAATTCGATCGGGATCGAGCTAGATTGCGATCGAAATCGCACCGCGTGATCGTTTCAGTGTGAATGTTTTTGTGAACACGGCCATAAACTTGTAGATTATTGTCAATGCGTACCGTAACGAAGCCCTCTGGAACATTTCGACAGCGGGGATAAAATTAATTCGTGATCGTATCTGCTGCGTGCAACGTTTAAACGCTACTTCTAAGAAAAAAGACAAAACGGGAAATAGAGGCGCGCGTGCTTACAATGAATAATCATTGAGCAATAATGCAGGAAGAATATATACACGAGATACGCTCACCTGGTCATTTTATTTCGCCTGGGGCACTCGAATAGTCAAGCAGATATGACACATGAAAAGAATGTAATCAAATAACTGCCGAGTTCTTTTCACATTATATGCTTCCTAAGTCATATAGACACTCGGACCGAGCAGCGAGGCTTAGACAGTTGCACATTATCACAAATATCATCAACACAAACACAAGGCTTGGCTTATGGCATTAGTGTAGACACGTAGGGGTGCACTTTGTGTAGAATGATCGTCGCATAGTCACTGATGCTGCTCAGTTGCTTATGAATGGTGTTCTGCATGTGCGTCTGTCACCAGTGTCAGCTGCCCCACCAAGACCGCCACTGCCACTTGTAATAAAGAGGGACCTCGCCTACCCTTCCAAGTTCACACCAAACAGGGAGGCATGGGTTGAGAACTTGGACACCGTCGAATCGGAGAAGCTAGGACTCGTGCCACTTCACCCAAAAGTCTTTGGCGTGTTTCCCAGGTGGGCGTCTGTGTTGTTGTATATAATAAGGGCTCTCTTTTGAAGCTGGTGTGTCAACGGACGCGTTGGTGTGTTTCGGTTTGACTTCACAGACTATGTCTGAATAGAAGAAAAAGCTCTGCACTTACTTAAACAGGATAATTTTGTGCATAATGTCTCATCAGCAGAGGTGCTCATTCTTAAAGGTTCTTCTTCCATTATCAATAATGTTGGTGCACCGCCCAGCAAGCATCCGCCCTCCCCCCAAATCTTATTTAATTACCTTCCACCTTAGTGGGGGAGTCCCCTGCTCTTTATTGTGTGGTAGGTGTCCTGAACATTTGTGTATGCATGCAGGATTGACACGCTGCACTGGAACATAAACTGGCAGAGCAACTACCAGAAAGTGGTATGTGTCTTTTTCTGTTGTTTGGCTGAACACTTATTGTTCTTTGTAGTTGAAACCGTCTTAAAAAAAAAAAAACAGTTTCACCGCAAGGGCAAGGCACTGAGTGGCATTAGCAACAAATTATAATGTTGTACGAATGAGATTATAATGTTGTGCGCAATAGGGCTATACCGATTTACAACTCGAGCAAAATTGTAGGCTCTGCCCACAGACCCACGCCATGCTGTTCAGCACTGAAATGAGGTCACGCTAGCTGGTTTTCACTCAAACCTTAAAGGGATGCTAAACCAAATTAGGAAAACTGATGGGAAGATTTTTATATTACTCTGAAGACTCGGCTGTCTTGATGAACATAGTTTGTTTCACATATTTTAACACGAAAGTGTTTTCTGCCGGGGTCCACCAAGACTTCAGTGACGCATTTCCATCACGAATATGACTTAAAATTAATGCTACAAAATGAGAAAGAAAACAACGTTCAATAAAAAGTTCCCCCACCGGGCGTCGAACGTAGAACTTTTCGGAAACGACGAAAAGCACCCAGTGCTCTACTGACAGTGCTACTGAGGCAATAGCTGGGCTCCGCACGAACGCCCCTTATATCTTTCACGCATTCTCTCTCGCTCCATGCTTTCTGCTGGCGAAGCGGGGCGGTGTTGCCGTCTGTCAGTGCTCAAGAGAAGTAATGGCGGCATGATGCAGTTAAAGCATGGCATCAGACATTGCGCGCCGGCACGCAGTCTTGTAGGCCGTGGTTAAAGCTTCTCGATAGCAGTGTGAAACCCCGACAGAACGAGGCTCGGAGAGTTGCCGACGCAGTTACGTTCTTTGCCTTTCGCTTTGCGTTAGTGCGTGAGAGCTCGACGTTAAAGTCGGGCAGCTTCCACATGCACCAACAATGTTTGATTGTCGACTACTTCAAGCGTGTAGCACCGGCTTATTTAATTTTAACTGCTGTAGTAAGCACTGCAGCAAGGCAACGATATTGACAGGCGAGTGTCGTGCCTTGGCGGAGTGCAACTGAGGCCAGCAGGACATGGTACGCTGGTGCGCGTTCGCGGCTCAAGCTACGAACCTCTGCGTCTAGCGTTGCTGACGCGAAGTATGCTCAGAGCAGTGGTGCAGTTTTCAAGAGCGAGCACCGTGCTGTTTTTCTCCTTAACTGATGATCTTTGAAGACGCACATATCAATACGCTGTGTTCAGGTATGTTTTAAAAACTCCAGCTACCACAACGCTTAGATCATGATCATGGGCGGTAGTTGCCACCAGAGAGACGTGCCACTAGGCGTCAATGTGGCTGTGTCCACATTAAACGGTGCTATAGCTGCGAAACGCCAGTAGAAATCGTATAAGCTTTTATATCTAAAAAATCACGTAACGATATCACTACACAATAAGCACTACTTCTGTGATGACACGTTTCATCTTCGTGTTATACCGCTTCCTATGACGGAGGGATCAGCCATGTTTTTTTGAACAGTTGGCTATAGCTTTGTAGAAAAGTCCATGCACAGTGGCTGTATGCCATCAATGTAATGCTGTCAAAGTCACCGCAGCGGATGTTCAGTGAACATTTCGCTCGCCTACTGCTTCTCTCTCCCCCCTCTTCTTTACATCACTCTCCCCCTTCCACAATGGCATTGAGATATGCACAATCATTTAGGGGCTTTCACCTGGGAGCAACGTCCGAGCCTTGCGGCAACGTAGTGGGAGCTAAATGGGTCAAGAGACAAGGCAGCGACTGGTATTGTTGGCGTGCTCGTTTTTAGTGCATTAAATGCCACGGAACGTCACCTCCTGTAGTTAACAGCGCAGCTGATAGACACCGCAATTTGTGAAAAGCGCATTAGATGCATCATTTCCCTCTAGTTCCTTCATTGAATAAAGGTTGTATCTATCGATTTCGTCACCCAGACTCTTATTTTAGCTGAAATTTCCGGCAGCAAAAATTTTGTTCATTATCCCTTTAAGTACATTTTCTCAGCTAATACAGATACTGTGTATATTAATAGCTAGGGATTCATCGTTATTGCCTAAAAGATTACATTCAGCTGAGCAGTGACGTAATAATCCGTGACCAAGTTTTCCACGGCGTTCAAGTTTCCAATGCTGCCCGTTTTAAATCCACACAGTAGTGCCCCATAAAGAGGGCAATGGGGATGACCACTGTTGTAGCTTAATCGGTACAGCATCGCACGTGTTATACGAAGGTCGCAGGTTCGGTTCCTGCCGTGGGCAAGTTGTCATATCGTGCACTTTGCTTTCTTCACGTTACATAGTAATTGTGGCACTTAACATACCCTGTACTTTCCTTGGCTTTCTTGTTTTTTAGTTCTCATTAACAATGTGTGTAACAAAGGAAAACGTTTGTTTTTATGAAAAAGTCAAAAAGTCAACGATTTGACACACCTGAGCAGTGCTTAGTGTAATGGAAATGGGCAAGCGCTATTGGATGGAGCATTTATGCAAATTATCTGTGGGAGGGCCAGCGATGGCTGTGGGTGGAACTGACATCTTTTCTTTGGCTGCAAGCGACGGTAGCAGTTCATTTCTTTAGCACCTCACGCGGCGTAAGCTCATCAAAACAGAGGCACAAGGAAGATTGGCTTAGACACGCATTTCAGGTTGTACAATAAATATCTATATGCAATGTGACCTGAAGGTTATCAACAATGCAGCTAAGATGTTAAAAGCTTGCGATTTCACTTTTTAGCTGCGCTCGTTTGGCATCATTGTTGGTATTGTGCGTCGCAGGACTGGACGACAACGGAGTCGCGTGCCGAGCGGAGAGGTGGAGGCCGCAAGCCATGGCCACAAAAGGGCACTGGCCGAGCACGTCATGGCAGCATCCGGTCGCCCCTCTGGAAAGGAGGCAAGTGCTAGCTGACCACCTTGCCCTGTTTTGAGAACAATAAAAGGCTACGAATAGTTACGCAGCCTTGCTGGATGTTAGCTGAGGTGGCAGATGGTTGTATTGCAAGATTGTCCCACAATAACAGTTGTTTTTGTTGTTTCGAAGGCCGCTCTAACATTTCATTAATTCGTAAGAATAGCTAGTTGGGCAACATGGTACATTACAGGGGTCATCGAATGATAATAAACTATAAGGCAACAAGGAAAGCTGGACAAAACAAAAAGACAAAATGAGGGAATCGGTGCTGCACTATCTGATTTGTTTCTGAAAACGACATCACCCCAAAGACCACAAACCAGAGCGTGTGCACTTCATTGTAGGTTGTTCTCATTTACTATACGCACAATCTTCTGTCTAGAAAATTCAGCTATTTTTACTCTGCACACACAGTGGATTCATCAGTTCAGTCTGGAAGTGTGTGCAAACATGCACGCTGTGTTTGGGGCCAGTTAAAATAACACATGGTGTGTGCCTTTATATGTAGTTGTTGACTCGAGAAACGTGTGCAAACATGTGCTCTGCTTTTCAAGCCAATTGAAGCAACACGCGGCACTTGCGTCTATACTGTAAGATGTTGAGCAAGCACTCCCACCCAAACAAGTGCTCTCCTCCCAAATTTAATCGGATTATCCTTCACCGTTGGAGGGGCGGCTTGCTTGACATTTTACGGTAGTTGGTGTGGACAGTTGTGCACGTCACCCCCGAACGGGATATCCTGATGTTGTTCACATTGGCATAGCGCTTCAATTCGTGGCATGCAGTGAAGCTCGAGTTTCTGGTCTCGCAGGTGGCGTAGCTCATGGGCCCCGTGGACCAAGGACGTACTACTACATGCTGCCCTTCTTTCGGCGGGTCCAGGGTCTCACAACTGCACTCTCTGTCAAGCTCGCACAGGTATGTTGGCTAAGTTTGACAATTTTAATGCTGCCCCCCCCCCCCTTCAATTTTTCCTGTGGTAATTGTGTCGGACTGCATCAAGAACGGAACTGCAGTGAACTTAGTTGCGAAGAAAATAGTGCAAGCATGTCTGTCAGGATGCTATTTATAAACCCGGGGGACATCAATTCATTCTCTCCTGATGAAAAAAAAAATTTCAGGGGTCCTTGACCTATTGGAAAAATAGAGGCAGGTGAAGTGCACCTTGGCTTGTGTGTACCTGACCTGCTACACTCAAACCTCGATATAACTAATCTAGATATAACGAATGATCGGTTATAACGAAGTAAATGAAGAATAGTCTTGTTGTATATACAGTGTCGGGCATATAGCCTTATAACAAACTTTCGGTTATAAGGATGCAACTTTGTTTTGAGTGTGGCAGTTTGGGCTAGTTGGTACGACATGACGATAGTTATAGTGCGAGAACAGAACGTGTCCTTCTTGTCTCTTTGTCATCGTTCTGTTCTTGCGCTACAACTATCGTTTTGTATTGAAATTTGACTATCTTTTTTTATTTCGTTCTTCCTATCGCATTGCACAATGCCCCCTCCTAACTTTTTTTCTTCCTCGCTGAGAATCGGACCTTCAGCCACGTATTTAGCAGCACAACATTTCTGTTGCTACAAAAAGAAAAGAAAAGGGCATTCATGGAACAATGAAATGCAGCAATGATAGGCAACATTGAAGTGTGGGGGCATAAAATGATGAGCGATGTCGATAGAAAATCAGATTTCCATATCAGAAATGGCTGATTGCTGACAAGTCCGTGGTCTCAAGAGTTGTCAGCTATCGGAGAATAGCACATCCAAATACGCGTGTGATTAACACACCATCGAAGGCCTATTTGTGTAAACCTGCATTTCTGTACACTCTCCGGTTTCAGGTTTTTCATGAGTCAAGCTTGTCACAAAAATTGATACTCAAGTGTGCAGCATAACTGTGCTTTTTTTCCCCAAGGACTCAGCAAAACTTTGAAGCAAACAGTGCAGTATCAGCAAGTTTCAATGTTATTTGAAGCAAAGCTAGCAGGTAACAGTTTTATCATCTCACCAGGCATAAATCGACGAAACACCAGCTTGAATAAACGTGGCCACTGCACAAAAAAAAAAGCGACCTTTGTGCTATCAATTCAATGCAAACGACAGTGAGAACTGGGTACAAGCCTGCTAATCCCCATGCTGTACGGTCAGAGTACAGAGTTCCTACCAAAGCCTCACAATCTACCTATTGACTAAGTATTCTTTGGCACTTGTATTTCTAGCCCCAGTTATTTATTACACTGATCAATATATCCCTGACATACGAGTTCTTCTTTCTGTTCAGGATGACCTGAAGATAGTGGACAGCCTGGATCTTCCCACTAATGACTCGAAGGTAAGCAAACCATGTTGTCCGACTAATTAGACAAAAATATCGGATAAGGCGTCTATGCTGCGTTTGTGTATGCCTCTTCGTCTTCATTCTGTCTTCTTTGTGCATTTCTTTGCATCTTCTTTGTGCATTCTTTGTGCAACATACGGAAAACCTACGGTGCATAAAAAGATCAACAGATGGAGGAAGGTGACGTGGACCAGCGCTAATCCGCGACGCTTCCTTCTGTTCTTGTCTTTTTTTTTGGCACCGTAAGTTATCCCCGACGACGAATTATCAACTCCGCCAAATGCTCACGTTAATACAAAGTATGCCCTTACACATATAGCTTTGCCTCGCAAACCATCCCAAAATTCAAATTTCATGTGTGTTAAAGAAACAGGCTTTTGTAAGCATAGTAACATTGGCAAAGAAATTGCATGTTCCTCTCTCATGTGCAGTTCCAGTGTGTTTACAAAAGTGAAGGGACAGTCAAAAGATTGGTGGGTTGTTTGTGTTTGTTTACGCTCCTTGAATAGCATTTTCGAATTATTTTATATTCCAGAGTGACCTATTAGTAGCACATTTTGTTTTAGGATTTTTGTCTAATCTCACGACTGAAACTGCCCCTGTAAACAGAGTGTGGTGGCCAACCCCGCGTCTTGATGTGGAAGTGGAGAGCTCCAATAAGCAGCTCATTGTAGAATCTCTCCAAAACATATTACCGCAGTGAACATACTTTAAACTTTAGTAATCACTATGTACTTCGTGTTTTCAAAACCTGTCTGAGGAAACTGGAAAACACTACAGAGCTTAGTAAAAAATTCTGAATAGTAACGTTATAACGAAGCAGATTGAGAACCTGAACAGAGAGTACTTGGTTGCAACCTGAGAAAACAAAATGGCCGCTCCACCCACACACCCATGGCTGTAAAATGAAGTTGTCACACTTGGTTTTGGCTCTAAGCGTGAGTAGATTCTCTTGGCTGTTGTATACTGCCACACAAAGACCTCATTGTAACTACCTAAATCTTATGTTTGACCGAGCAGCGATGTCAGAACCTCTGACGAAATTTGCTGAGACATGGAAGCTTCCAATTTAAAACCGGCGTCACGAACGCATGTCTGTTTGGAAAAAGTCGGCTATCATTTGCCTCAGTGGAAAAGTGGCTACAGTGCTCAGCTGCTGACAAAAAGGTCGCAGGCTCGATACCGGCTGTGACCGTCGAATTTTGATGGAGGCGAAATGGTAGAGGCCGGTGTACTGTGCGATGTCACTGCACCTTAAAGAACACCGGATGGTCAAAATTTCTGGAGTTCTCCACTACGGCGTCTCTCATATTCATATGCTGGTTTTGGAATGTAAAATCTCAAATATTATTATTAAGAGTCTCAAATATTATTATTAAAATTATTATTATTATTAAAATATTATTATTATTATTAATATTATTATTAAATTATTAAATATATTATTAAAATCTCAAATATTATTATTAAATATTATTATCTGAGACATTACAAAGGTGCATAAGATCACGAAAATGAGTTGGACCAATTGGATGGAACATTCGCAAAGCTGGCATTTTTTTAAAATTAGTAACTCAGTATATATACATTTTACTTAAAAACTGGCCCACAAATATTTAGCGATTCTTTGTAAGCAGCATATTTTAAATATACAAATATATTTTTTGTTCTTTCAATGCATTCTAACTGCAGAAGCCGCATGCACTGCACTTTTCTCTGTTCCAGTATCTGCTGAAGCTGGTGGACGAAAGGTTCTGGGGACCTTCGGTGCTGTTTGTGGACAAGTATGTTGCTCACATGCCAGAAATTCAGTTGACTCTGAACCTTAAGCTTTTCTTCATACGTTTAGTAATGCTTTGCATATCATGTCTTCTTCTGTTCCAACTCCATGTATATTAAAAGGGCCCTAAAAACTTCTCGAACATGGTCGGCAAATGCTGTGTCGATCGGTAGTCGAGGCTCCTGAAAATGCGCGAGCCAAATATTGCAGCGCATCAGGCGGCCTGGAGTTTACAGTGAATTCTCAAAGTCAGCTAAAAATCGCTTTCTCTTATTTCGACAAATGACGGTACAAGCTCGAAAATCACTCGTCACAGCCACTGTATCAGCCATTGGCCGATTTGAGCATGGCACACTCGGTCGTTACAGCAGCTGCTGTGGGAAGCTGCGACTTGTCCGTGCGTGCGCACACAATCTCACTGAAAGGCCGTGTATTCTGGGGGGGGGGGGGGGGGGGGGGAAGAAAAGTGCTCAAGGTCACGAGGCACGCGTGACGTTTTCTTTCCCTGTGCCATCCCTGCCCGCTGAGCTGCCAGCGCTTCTGTCGTGACGAGAGGGAGGAGAGAATGCAGTTGCAGCGTGCGACAATCTTTGTAACTCCGCTCCTACGGAACAGATTCCAAAAATTTTTGCAGCGGCGAATTTGTGAGGCAATTTGTTCCATTAGTGAATTCATTACGTGGCTACTCGGGAAAGTGTTGCAGGGTTCTTTTAACACTGACATTTGCTAAATGTGCAAATCTGGAATAAATAAAACTGTCCTTCAATATGACCAGACAAATTTTCAAGGGTTATCAGTGAAAGCTGTAAGATATTTATTAGTTTTATGTGTCTGTAGCTTCAGTAGAATGTAAAAAAATTTTTAAAAATGAATTTTTGGAACTTTTATTCGCACCTTGATGTTGTGTTCAAAGCCTCAAGACATATTGGATCCTAGAGATTTGGAGCTTTTATTACGCATAATGATACACTGTACAGAAAATGTCACCTCATGTTTGCAGTTAAAATTGCTTGTTAGAAAAGAGTTTTGGTTGTGAGTTGGTATAGATCAGTGTTGTAATACATGGCAGGAATAGACCAAAAAAGTTTTTAACACATCCCATTTTGCAGCGTAACGTTTAATGTTTATTCTGCCACTGCTGACATTGTTTTACTTGCAAGATTGCCTACTTAACTGTAAATAACTGAAAAACTCCGGATATGCGTGACACTTGGCAACTTAAAGGCACGAACAACCGTTTTTTATGGTGCTTATTTTTTCTTAGTGCGAGGAAAATCTCATTCGTCAGCAAATCTGATCTCGGAATGGCAAAGTAGAAAACGCCGCGAAACATTTCTAATCAGATCTACAGTGAGCATGAACTCGTATGCTCACATGCTGTAAACAGTTAGCGTGCGGACAGTTCGTGTTCGAGCGCAGTGGTTTACTGCGCATGCGTGCACTCCGCGCCGCAACTCTACTTATTCCACCGGCAGCCGCGGCGGCAGCACTGCTTTTCACAGTGCTACTGCTTTTACGTCTTAAGCAGCACAGAATTAAGTGGGGCTGCATAATGCAGCACAGAATAAATTGGGGCTGCATAAGTCATTTGACGGATGCATTTGGGAGGTAGTAGCCAGATACTGAAACAGGTGGCCATCCTTCTTCTGGTGAGGGAGTGCGTTCCCGGCAGTGGTTACCGTTGAGGCGCACCCCAGGCTCGTAATGCCTTTCCATCCCCACGCAGGATTTTTTTTTTTTTATTCAGTGGGAAACTTGCGGTATGGGATTGAGCCACGAACATTTGCATGCGAGGCGACTGCTCTAACCACTATGCATCGCTGCTGCATCTAACAATTCTAATTGAAAATGGCCACACACGGACAACATCAGACTACAGGACCATGTTCAGCAAAGTGATGGGCTCCATATTCGATCTAGCTTCAAGGCTTTTCTACTAGACGGTGCCACAGAATGATTTATGTTACTTTTAAACACAACTCAAGAATGTAAATCCTAGCCACAATGCTAAAAAAAGAAATGCTGGAATCTGCCACTATATTTCATGGTCATTTCATTTCCATTAGGATGTAATCGCACGTTCAGGCCAGTTGTAAGTCCCTTGAACTCAAGAAACACAAAGTGTAAATGACAAATTTTGTTGCTGGGCTGGTTGGTGAATATTTAAACACTGACTGGATAGTGCAGGTTCAATGCAAAACACAGGAAAGTCCCACGCTTGTCCTTGGTTTCTGTGTTATTCCTGCATCAAATCTGCACTGTCCAGTACTTATACGAAAACACACAGCATCATTTGAAAGTTGTGAACCTTGTAGCAGTGTAATTAATATATGCCACTCTTTTTGTCTTCCAGCACAGATTATGTCCCAGAAAACATAGCCCTGATCTGCGACGAAGTGAAGCACTTCAACATAATGCCCGTTTATGGTGAGCGTCCATATCTTTGTTCCGCATTTGCCTGTGGTAATATGTCCACTAAGAAGGCGGTGCTTCGCGAGTCATGCAAGAAAACATTGGCTTTTGTACTTGGAAATTACTTATTTTTTTAAGGGTATGAGCTACTCTTCCAAGTAGGCATTGAATGGCCTCCGGACCAGTTTATTGGCTCACAAATCGATTGCCGCAAAATTTCTCGAACTCGTCTAGAATGAGCAGAAATGTAGCCGTCCGTGGCATTTTTCTAAGCAGTTTCTCCATTCTCAAGTCACAAGGACCACTCACACGGCAAGCTACACTGGGCAGGATGGCATGCGGGAAAGACGTTACGTCAGTGCGCGTGATGAAACGCATTGCGCAGTGCGCAATGTTGGGAGGCTATCGAGCACAGCGCAGGCATGTGCCAGCAGCCCATGCCAAGAAGCTCATCTGAACTAAATGCCACTCTTCATATGTGTGGGCTGTTGCTCAACAGCATGCTACCCGCTGTCTGACATCAAGCAGTATCGCCAGCAGCTTTGAAGCGAGCGACGTGAAGTTTGTGTAAGAGAAGTGGGTGCATCAGAAAAGTGCAACTTCGCACTCCACTTGTCGGCTCTCCTTGCTGCGCACGGCTGCAAGGTTTGGACAAGATTTTCGCGGCAGTGTCTGCTGTCCGAAGGCTTTGTTTTCTCACCAGCCCGAAGGGTAGTTGATGACCCCCGCCAAGTGCTGCTACAGTTTACAGCTTAGTGAAAATCGTGAGACGATATCTTAAAGTTGCCGTGACGCCCAACTCTCAATCGTAATTTGCATTATGTGGGTTAATTCTTGTGCATTCACAAACACACTTGTGGAATATTTTAGCTCATTTCATTGAGCACCTTATTTATTATTCAGTGTTTTGTAAAAACTTGAGTAGCCCGACAGAATCGGGCAACACTGACGCACTCGCAAGCTGCGACATGGCTTGCTGTGTGAGCGTGCGAATTCCGGCGAACAATTTCATGCTGCAGTCAGCCGCACGTGCAGTTGGCATTAAAGTTGAACGATTTGCAGCAACTGGAAACTTTGGTCGAAGACTACTGCTACGATGCATGCAGTACAGGTCATGCACATCATGGCAAAATGGCTGTCGCCAGCAGTGGACAGATTTTAAAGCCAGTGACTTCTAGGGCTTACTTTGCCAGAAATACTTTTTCCTTGTCAATTTTCTTATATACGAGTTTGCACTATAGACCTTCTACATCTGTTTTTCGCTAAGAACCACAAATTGTTGGGTTGCCGTGTCATGGTTCCTAACTATCTGGAAAAATGCTTCATAATTTCATGTGAATGAAGTGCACATAAAGCAGTTCAGCTGCAATGTTAACACTTATTTTCACGGAAAAGCCCCGCCACATCATGCCATAGACAGCGAGAAGAGTGATGTTTTGATCTAGTGATACAGTGAACTGCTCTATCAATGTTGCAGTTATTTTTCGGTCCCAAGAGTGCTTTTGGTACACCAAGCCTAATTTCAGTTGCTCTTGCAGGACTCAACGTACACAGCATGTTGAAGCACGACACGCTCGTTCTGACTCTCTCTGCTGTCGAGGAAATCGAGAACAAGCTCCTCTACCAGCTTCACAGAATTGACGGCAAAGAGGTCGCACAGCGAGACTACAGAAGGCCCTACCTGTAAATCGTCCCCATCCGCTAACAGTTTTCATTACAAGCCGCTGAGCAAACGAACCCAGACATTCGTATGAATAAACGCACGTGTTTCACACTTTTGCTACAGTCTTGCTTGGTACTGAAAATTTGTAAGCACTCTTTCTTGTTTAGAGGCAGAGATGGCGAAATCGTTCTTGGAAAGCAATAATATTGATACAATGTACATATAACTGTTCAGGTTTTACGTCTCAAAACCACAATATGTTCATGAGGGACGCCATACCGGAGGACTCTAAATTTTGTCCATATGGTGTTGTTTAATGTACACCTGAATCTAAGTACATGGACCTCTAGCATCTTGTTTCCACGGAAACGTAGCCACCGCAACCAGGATTTGGTCCTGCGAGCTTTGGGTCTGCAGTTTAGCACTATAGCCACTGGAGTACCACAGCGGGTTTCCAAAAAAATACTTAAGTTACATTGCTCATTACTACTTTAAATGATTGAAATTAGTCTAAATTACAGCTGATCAAATGTAATAACAATGCATTACCATTACTTTTGCAAAGTAATAAAGTTACTTTAACATGTCAATCAAGCAACTTTATTCAAAACTTTTAGTTGAGATGTGCGTCTTTTCTGTGCGCCTGCATCATTCACGACATTGACTTTTTCACACTCGTTTTTTTTTTTTTGCCGGTAAATTTTATACCTTAGGGGATGTGAAATATTTTAGTTAAAAATAATCAGGAAATAATTTATACTTCAATTACTGACCAAAAGTAATTAATTACATTATTAAATTACCAGGCCACATTAACAATTGATTGCATTACCCATTACAGAAAGAAGTAACTGAATTAGCACTCTAATTTCATAGCAGTATTATCAATACTGCCAAGTATGTTCTAAGGATCCACTTTAGTTTCTTTGAAAACCAGTTGCTCAGCACAATGATGCAAGCTAGACACGAAGCTAGCCTCTGAATATGAATACGTCCATGCAGAAATTAAGGTAGCCAAACCGTAAGCTAAATCAGTTAAAACTGATTAAGTAACACATCAAGACACCATGTACAATAATATCTTTGCAATAGGCTGACGTACAGAAAAAAGAAAATTGAAATTCAAAGTACCATGACTGGAAAAAGAAAGGTAGTCAACAAAAAAAAAAGGGGAGACGCTCTAGGTGCCGACCAGTGCGGACGCGCGAAGATCGGCTCCTGCTTTCAAGAATGCTTTCCTGTGATATTCACGAATTTGTCGCCGAGTTTTTACTCTCATCGTGTGCCTAAGTTCTCAAGAAATCAGCAGATACCACCTTTGTGCCGGTGAGTGAACTTTTAAACAGTTTTTTGGGACATTTTTACACGGCAACGCCACCGGGGGATTTAGGCCTAACCAAGGAGGCGATTGTCGCCGATGCGCCGGCCGGCGCCAACGCGACTCAACGCTCTGCGCGTTCCAGTATCTGCAACTGAGAATGGAATACCAAGTAGATGGAGAGGACATCTCTCCAGAGGATTGCACGGAAGAAATGGGTTGGAAGGAAGCCGAAACGAGACGCTCAAGGAATAAGCAAGCCGCGGTTAGCGTTCCTGCTGCCAAGGGTTCGACCGAGGCCGGCGTTGTGGGAGACGCTCGAGCCAGTCGTAGTAGGTATGACACCAAGCATACAATCGTGCGAGCTGGACGCATGCCGCCACTACCTAAGGACTTCAGCAAAATTGTGCTACGACCACGTGGAGGATTAAATATCTCGAGAATTGGCACTGGAGCCGTGGCAGACGCGATAGTACTGGCGGCCGGCGTCAAAGAGGAAGAGGCCATGCAGGACATCATCTGTTCCAACTTGCAGCAGAACATTATGGTGGCAAGCACTCCGGACCAAGACAGAGCTTCAAGATACCTCAAGGTCAAGCAAATTGACATTGGAGGCAAAGTTTTCGAGGTTAGCGCGTACGCCGCGGCACCCCACGACACTTGTAAAGGAGTGATTCGCGGGATCCCCGTAAGCGATACTCAGGACATCTTGACCCGAAAGATTGTGAACGCGAACAACCCGCTCGCGCTGCAGGCGAAGAGAATCAAGGACACCGGGACAATCATCATAGCGTTCGAAGGACACAAGGTGCCCAGATTCGTGAGATATGGACCTTCACTTTTGCAGTGCTCCCTTTACCGCAAGAACATCGATATTTGTTACGTCTGTGGAAAGCTGGGACATCGGTCTGACGTCTGTCCGAACCCAGCTGAAACAATCTGCAGAGGCTGCGAGATCAAGAACCCAGATAGCCTGCACCAGTGCAATCCAAGATGCAGGCTGTGCGACGGTCACCATCCCACGGCAGACAAGGAGTGCAAGAACAGGTTCTTAGTGCCATACGTCGTCAGACGCAGACGTTGGGAAAGATCGCGAGCAGCCGCAGAAGCCCGGGACGCATCAATCACATCGAGTCCAGACATCAATGACAAGCAGCTTATTCCAGCCTACGGGACCCAGAGCATCCCGACTACACAAGAACAGGAAAGGCGGCCCCACTCCAGGGGGAGGTCGCGTTCCAGAAGAGGTTCTAGACCCAAGGCCCGCTCCCAATCACGGGGGCGCTCGAGTTCTCAAGGTCACCATCAGGGTCGGGATCAGCCTGGGCGGCACCCGAATGGCCAGCTGCCTGGCGTTCAGTTCGAGATCACGGCTTCACACCCGGGGAGGACGCCTGCAGTTACTTCAAAAGGCAGCTGGGCTGAGCGAGTGCGCAACGGCGGGGCAGAGGTGATGACAGGTAAGCTGCCAGAGCATGATAGAATTGCACAGCTAGAGCAAGAAAACGCGAGACTTACAAAATCGAATGAGAGGCTATCAGCTGAGTTAAAGGAAATAAAAATTTTTCTCACTAAGCTAACCAGCGCGCAATCTTCACAGCCAATGCCTCAGCCAGTTGATGTCCCTGTGGCTGAAAACGTGGGGGACTCGAGAACCGCGAAAAAGAGGGCAGTCATGGCAGAACACGTGGAAGCCAACCAAACGACCATGTCAGAAATGAAAGAGGTGTTTGACACGCTCAGCAAAGTAGTAGCCAATCTTAGCGAGCAGATGGGTAGGCTACAATCAAGCGTGGCGGCACTGGAAGAGCATATGACTTTGCGCATTACAAAGCTCGAAGCAGATCTGCACAACACAGCAAGGCCTCCTCATGCACCAAGCTCACCCCTTCGGCCACCAATACTAGTGGTACCAAACCTGTCGACAGGTGCAGCATCAGGCTCTGGCCGCCCATGTAATAACCATGATGGCAGCGCTACGTGAAGCATTTCGTATCTGGTAGTGGAACTGTAGAGGTTACCTTAAAAAGAAGGCAACCCTGCAGCAGTATATCAGGAGCAGCGAAGAAAAGCCTCATATTATATTATTACAAGAGACCCTTTCACCGCAAGCAACGTTGCCTGGATTTCGGCCTGTAATAGGGGATAGTGAAGGGAGGGGAGTCTGCACCTTCGTATGCAACAAACTAACGCACGTAACCCACGACCTCAAGATAGAAGCAGGCCGGTTGGAACACGTCTTGGTAGAGATCGTGCCGGGTACCAGCAACCGTCAGAGCATTTTCATTCTGAATATATACAGCAGTCCAAAGGAACAAAGCAAGGGTTCAAGAGGGTTCTAAAGAAAGCTGTTAATATCGCCGGGGAATGTCCACTCGTCATAGCAGGTGATTTCAACGCCCCTCATCATACATGGGGTTACAAGTACAACACTGGGAAAGGAATCGACTTTGGCAAAGTGCCAGTGAACTTGATCTCACCCTAATCACAGACCCCAGCCTACCAACAAGGCTTGGTACATCTTGCTGCAGGGATTCCACCCCGGACCTTACATTTGTAAGGAACATCAAGAAGGCCCAGTGGATGAACCTTGCTGTAGACCTAGGGAGTGACCACTGCATTCTTGCCACTACCTTCTCCGTGGAGCGTAAAAAGCAGAGAGAATTTCACTTCACAGACTGGGATAAGTTCAGGAAGATAAGGATGGAAAGGGAACAAGATGGCCACAGACAAGGCTTGGAGCAGTGGGTCAAACAGATTAAAGATGACATCAAATCCGTCTCCTCCACCATTACCACAGATTTTCCGGTTGAAAGAATGGATAGCCGGCTCGCTCATCTTCTTGAGGCAAAGCAAGCACTACTGAACCGTTGGAAGGGTCAGCGCCTGAACCGAAGACTGAGGAAGAAGATAGCTGAGGTAAACAGATCAGTCGAGGAACATTGTCGCGCACTATCGAGGCAGCAATGGGACGAAATCTGCAACTCCGTCGATGGTCAGATGCGCAATGGCAAGACATGGAATATGTTAAAGCATCTCCTCAACGAAAACACCACCAAAACAAATCAAAAGCATGTTATCGCTCGAATTTTGCATAAAGAGATAGGGCGCACTACAGAACAGCAAGTTGTCCAGCAGCTCGTGCATAAGTACCTCCCAATCAAAAGAGGATTGGCACCACGAAGTAGACAGTACCAGGACACGCCAAATCCAGGTCTTGAGGGCGACTTTAACATCGAGGAGATCAGAAGAGCCTTGCATGATCTCAACGGCAGGTCGGCCCCTGGCCCGGACGGTATATCAAACAAGGCCCTGCGTAACCTTGATGACGATTCAATTGAAACCCTGAGGGATATGATCAATTCAGCATGGAAAGAAGGCAGGGTGCCAGAGCAGTGGAAGCTGGCCAGCACGATCCTTATTCCTAAGCCAGGAAAGTCCCCTAACTTGGACAACATGAGGCCAATATCCTTGACATCATGTATCGGTAAGGTCGCAGAACATGCCATACTGCACAGGATAAACAAGTACTTGGAAGATAACAACATATATACACACAATATGGTTGGATTCAGGGCAGGGCTATCCACACAAGATGCATTGAAGCTTATCAAACACCACGTCATTGACAATGAAACCAGAGACGTGAGAGCCATTCTGTGCCTAGATCTAGAAAAAGCGTTTGACAACATCCACCACTCATTCATACTCGAAGCGATTTCCAAGCTTGGTCTAGGGAAAGCCTTCTGTGACTACGTATGGTCCTTTCTTACAGATCGGAAAGCCGTGATGAAGATTG